GCCCCGGGGCCCTCCGCCGGCCCCGACAGGTGACGCCGGGTCGCCCAAGCTCTTCTCGGTGGCCCCGGCAGGAAAATAAAGTTTGAACACTCTCCTCCCACCCACCCGCCCCACTCGGACTGAGCGGGTGCTCCTTTCGCCCGGCGCCTGCCTGCGACTTCTGGGAGTCGCAGGAGCAGCGCGCTCCCCCCCAAAACGCGCTCACACCTTTCCCAAAACCTGGCTCTCGGAGCAGGCGCTTCAGCTCGCCCACGTGATGAGTGGAAATCAAACGAAAAATTTGAAAAAAACAACGAAAGGACGGGTTCCACCATGCCTGGAGCAAACCTTTCCCCGCACAGGCTTCGGCAGCTGGTGCCCGGATGCCTAGGAGGGGCCCAGGAACTCGAATGCAGCTAATGCCCCTTCCCCACCCTTCCCCCCCACCCCCACCCCCGAACCCTCATTCATTTATTTATTTATTTTTTTAAATCTTCAGGGAAAGTAGAACTACAAGGAAAACGCCTAGAGATTGAACACTCGGTCCCCAAAAAACAAAGGTAGGAAAAGCGCTCATTTGGGGGAACTGAGACGAATATTAAGAGGGTCCATAGCGTCTCCAGTGGAACAAACCCATGACTGGCCTTTCCACCCCCAACTCCGGATGTTGGGGGCTGGGAGAGAAGATTGGCTAAGATATTGTAATGGGTGTTTTACAGCTTAAAAAAAAAGAAAAAAAAAAAAAACTCAACAACTTGGAACTGGGGTGGGCCAAAAGATGTTACTTGAAGAGATTAAAGAAAAAGAATCAATAGTGTAGAAGCCCTGTGGAGTTAATTCAGAGTATGGGACCATGTTTTTAGGGGAGCTTAAATACGCAGAGTTCAAACTCATGGCGGGGGTGATCTCTTCAACTTCCTGCTAGCCTCCTTTTTTTCTCTCATCCATATCATAATTCGAAAGTGGATTTAAGGGAGTCCTTTTGCTCTTGGGGGTGAAATCAATGAGCCGCCTACCCCCGTTAGAATCTCCTTATGCGGTGTGAATTTCTGTTCCGGGCATGGGTTTCGTTGTCCCCCTCACAGCCCCTCACCCCCAGCCCCTCACATCTTATATCGCCCCTTCAACTGGATTTTCGAAGAATCTGCGTTGGCTGTGCTATCCCTTTCCAGCCCCCCCGCCCCCACTCCTTCAGCCCATTGTTACCAGGGACCATCTGGGGTGAGAGCTTTGTGCTCAGGCTGGGAGCTGGGGCGCTTTGGAGGGTCTAGAACTCCGGGGATGAATGGGTGTGTGTGTGTTCTCATGTGAGTTCCTTTCACCCTGTGTTCCGTCTTTTCCGGCCAAGTGGGGTATCTCCATCTTGCTCCCCTAAAATTCGGGGTGCGTTTTCCAGTCTGCCTTGAATTCTGAAGTGTTCGGTTGAACCCGGGCTGTAGAGCCTAAGGGTAGTGTTTCTCGAATCAGACTTTTGGAACATGTTGACAGTGCAGTTTTCTTTCCTGTCGTAGTCGGAAGCATCCCTCTGCGTTTTTGATCCCCTCAACCCCCTTTCAACTGGAAACTTCCTGTATTTCTGAACGGTTTTTGGCTCTTCCTAGGTGGAAAGGTGTGTGGTGGGGTATTTTTAAAATAATCTAGGAGGTATTTTTAAAATGATGTAGGAAGTTTAGCTGGAGGTTAAACTCCTCTGTGGTTTGGCTTTAGATTTTTTAAGTGACTGAATTATTGTATCTATAGATGATCAATATGGCTTGGGTCTATGTTTATAGAGTATGTGATTTGTTGTCAAATGCTTGAGAAATTTATTGGAAAGGTGATTAGAATTAGGAGCAAAGAGGAAATTGGAAGGAAGGAAAATTGGAAAGAAGGAAAGCCTTCGAAAAATTTTTTGGGAGTTGAAAATAACATAATTGAGTTAAATTCTTTGAAGATTATGAATATTTAAATCCAAAGCTGTGTTGATGGGAAATCTAATAACTGGAATTCTGAAAAATGTGATAATTCCCCCTCCCCCTGCTCTTGAGAGTGGCTTAAAATTTAAAACCGAAGAAGGGAAAAGAGAAAGAAATAGCAAATTGTGGTGAAATGGAACTCAAACATTTATATTTTAATTTTCATGGTGCCCAGTATTTGTGGATCTTTCTCTTCAGGCCATCTGCCTGCTTTATGGCATTCCTGTCCAGGTTCCTTGTTCCCTCCAAAATGCATTACTAAGAGCTCTTGTGAGTGGGAATGGAAAGAGGGTCTCTGAGAAGATGGTTCTTAGAAAAAATTTCCCTCTTCATGTCCATATTCAATTCCATCTTTTGTGTGTTCTCCTTTTACTGAAATATTTTTTGAACCAAACATTGAGGCGGTTGTAATTTTTTTTTCCCCCTTCTGGATGGTGGTGTGGGAAGAGGTTATTTCTAGCATGAACTGATTTTTTGAAGTCTTGGGGTTAAAAAAAAAAAAGTTTGTTTCCATTAAAGTCAGTTTGCTCTGTTCGTGTGCCTTGAGGAGCAGCTTTGGTTCTTGTGTCGTGTGTGTCTGAGCATTCCCCTTCCGTTGAGTTATTGCTGGCATTTTCAATCTCTGGAAACACAGACGTGAATTTAGTCAGGACCAACATTCTAAGCAAAATGAACACCTGTAGAAGTGTATTTTGTCTATGTGTATTGTGTTTTCAGTGTTTAAAAATGGAACTCCTGATATACTCAAGTGCAAATGAGTTGACTTAAAAGTATTCCTGTATTTTGTTGTTCCTTTGAATATATTTGATAAATATGATTTATACCTTTCAAAAACCCAATTAGTAGTCTTAGCATCATATTTAAGCTGAAAACAGCAAATTTGAATTTTAAATATGAGAGACATTAAATTTCACTATTATCTTCCCCAACTCTGTCAGCCAGTACTGGGAATTTAGTTGGCAATTTTGTTCTATAATTTATATCTATTCACTGGCGTATGTTGGTACAAAGGAGAAGGACCCAAAACATTTTAAAAACAGTTATGCAGCATTTGTGTTTAGATGTGTCTTCTTTTAGGAGACTTTAGAAAAATTTAGGCAAGGAAGGAGCTGCCTGCCATCTTAGATTTTCTTAGGGAGGGAAATGATTTGATTTACTTTTGAAGAGAATGAAACTTTTCTTACACCTACCCCTGAGGCCTTTTTTCTAGGAGTGTCCTAAACCTTGCATTTTACTTGTCAACTGCTATCATCAAAATAAAATGTTGCCCTTAACACATGAAAGATATTTTTTCCCCAGGTGATTCCAACTTTGATCTCTTTGGGCTGGTTGATAGTAGTGCTTTTCCTTTAAATTGACTTAAAATGAAGTGGGTTAATACTTTCTCCTAAATTTCCAATGATTAAAATGAAAACTAGGTCTCTTTTCCAGTGGTGAAAAACTCTGAAAAGAGAATGTATTCCAATTTGATTCCTATTTTATATAAGTTTAATTTTCTGGACTCAGCACCTTAAAATCCGTGAAGGGTTGTTTTGTACATGACAGGAAATGTTTTCAACTTATTTAAAATGAACTGTAGAAACCTTGAATAATTGAGTCACTAAATCTTTTCAAAACATGTTAAAAATCACCTTTAGAAATAAGTTTGCATTTAATCAGAAAGCACACAGCACACAGTTTGGAGCTAGAGGCTGAAAAATGGAAAGAAGGTCAAAAGATGGCAGCCTGGGCTTTTAAAGCACTTAGGTGTAAGCCGGGGGTGGGGTGGGGGTGAGGTGGGTGGCACACACCTTTAGTTGGGAGCCAGAGGCAGGAGGATCTGTGTGAGTTCAAGGCCAGCCTGGTCTACAGGGTGAGTTCCAGGACAGCCAGGGCTGCACAGAGAAACCCTGTCTTGGAAAATAAAACAAAACAACAAGAAGTTTATAATAGAAAGAATTTATAACTTTTTTAGTAAAAAGGATGTTACCTTGTATATTTTTAAGTGAAAAAATGGTTGTCTTTGTTTTCTTTAGTATTTGGAGGAAATGTAGATACTGAAGTTCATTCCCTCCATTTTAAGTTTCCACTTAGAAATGAATTTTACAAATTCATAAATTTCCTTTATTGCTAGAAAAAAGCCATAGTTTCTTAATCTGGTAGTTCATATTTGAAGACGAAACTTGCCTGAGTATAATTAACTGTTCTTGAAAGCATTGTGAATTTCTTAGCCCTGGGTTTTCTGGAATTTTAACTCTGATGGTTTCTCAGATGGAGAGTGTTTTAGTAAAGAAGGGAAGATTTGGGATTCCCATCACTAACTTCAGAGTGACTTTATTCCAGTTGTCTGGGTTTGACATATGTTTTGGTGGTCTCAGTGTTTTGGGGGTGAAATGCATAACCGCAATTGGAAGGTTCTTGATTCAGGGGTTCTGGGTGTCTGCCTTTCAGAATTACCTTAATAGATAATTTGAATCTAATACACGTGGGTGGCTGCTTTTAAAACATGGGAGGTTTTTGGTGTTTTTTATTAGTTTTGTTTTAATGTATAACAGTCAGTGACAAAGATATCATTTAAGACAGACTAGTGAAAAACACTTACAAATATTTTATTAAAACCTTACATTTGAGCCCAGTAATCCCCTCAGAGTAAATCCCTGTAGAGGCAGCGGATTTTTGAGTTCGAGGCCAGCCTGGTCTAAGACAGCCAGGGCTGTTAAACAGAAAAACCCTCTCTCCAAAAATCAAACAAAAGCCAGCCAACCAACCAACCAAAACCAACAAACTCAAACCTTACATTTGAGCTGGGCATCGTGGTACACACCTTTAATCTCAGCACTCTGGAGGTAGAGGCAGATCTCCCTGAGTTTGAGGCCCACCTGGACTACGTAGTGAGTTTCAGGACAGCCAGGGCTATGTAGAGAGATTATCTCAAAAACAAACAAACAAAAATCCTCCCATCTGGTTTGGTTAAGTGAAAAGGGGGAAGACTAGCAAGTGTTTGTGTTTTGAGACTGGGTCAGTCTCATTGTGTATCCCAGGCTGCCCCCAGCCTAATAGTAATCCTCCTGCTTCAGAGAGCCTCCAGAGTTCTGTGATTACAGGTGTGATTACAGCCACTGGACCTGGCTGGCTATTTGAAGTTTAGAGATTTCATGGTGAAGAAAGCTGTTTTTGGTGCATGCCTCGGTTTGGGTGTGGAAGGTGGTAGGTAGGGATAGTGTCATAAGACAAAAATGAACCTAAGGCGATTGAGGAAGTGACATTTCCCCATCTGTTAAAATTTAAATTGTCTTGTCTGTCCCCGTCTGTTAAAATGGGGATGTTGTTCTAGAAAGCTCAACTTTGAGTGAGGAGGGGAGTGTTAAGGAGAAAATGGAGAGACAGGGACTGAGGGGGGTGAGGCAGTAGAGACTGGGGTGTTGGATTTCCACCTCACATTGAAGGAAGAGCCACTGGAGGCTCGTGGTCACCCTCTGTCACCAGGCTTAGGAAGACAGATGCGGTCAGCTCGAGGCAAGGCTAATTTTGTTTTGCCCTGAGTTTTTGGACTTCCGTGTTCAGAAACAGAGGGTGGGGTGGGAGAGGAGAGAGCTGAGTGCTGGAGGCTCTTCCTGGACCTTCCT